AACTGGTCGTTCCCCTGACTACATTATAAAACAAACAACTAATCGATCTAGTGATGTGATAAGAACTTCAAACTCTGATATGAATTAATCTTAAGAAGACGCTACTCAGATTGAGACTTTCAGTCTTACAAGTGAGTAAAATGTACGGTTAGACAATCATGTTTATCATGTTAAAAATTTGGTATGTTATGCACTTGTAAGACGGAGACAACAAATGTCCGCGGAGGATACTCTTAAGTTTACTAGAGATATATTTCCCAAATTATTGATTATAATTTAAATTTCTACTTTTCCAGGTAATAGGGGAATAAAATCAAATGTAAGTAGTTCTATCTCAAATAGACTTAACTGCAAAATCATGTTGGTTTTGATAGTACACGAAGGATACTATATGCATTGATTAAATATACATAGCCCACGCATAGTTAAAAACTTTTAATGGGAAAATCGAGGTATTGGGAGCCTAAACATAATAGGATGGGAGCCTGAATTCGGGTAACGCTAGAGTAGTTTTCGACACAGAACTAACTGTACCTATGATCGGATTTTCATTTGACATTTTGATTTATTACACTTTTGTTTTACCTCGCATTCTTGTATATAATAATTATTTATTGTTATTTGCAACTATATTGATATTATATCACGTGGTTGTGGTAGTAAATGTGCTTTCATGGACTGTGGAAAATCCGCTCGTAATTGTACAGATTTGAAGTTCCGTCAATTTTCAACAAATGCGGACTCAATCGGAACATTATTTACTATAGCTGGTATACTACTCATTATCAGTTTAGTAGAATGTAAAATATTATATTGGTTTGTTTCCTTTTGATAAACACCACCCTAGATATTACAACTTACAAGTAAATATTTTAAATTGTATACTAAATTAAAATCTTATATTTTAATTAGGAAATGTTAACTGAGTCTCACATCAAAAGAATTATTATGTCGATAGATCTGCCAAATTTATTTTATTAGCACAGATTATACTAATGAAAATAAAAGCAGCTTTAACAAACAAGCAGTTAATACTCAATATACAGAAATCAAGAATTTGCATATTATTACTCTGAAACAAAAAAATAAGCAAAATTAACAGTAAAAATGTATTCCTATTTAGATAGAAAAATCGGTTAAAATTAATGAAAAATGGAAGGCAGAATACAAATAATATTGTATAGTCATTACAATATCTATCTTAAGACTTTAAAGTACTTGTCAAAATGCAGACATTAAGAGCTTAATCATCAAGAAAACCTTTCACAAAATCAGAACGAAATTGTTCGCTGAGTTTATTTTACATATCACCGAGTATTTACAAATTTCTAAGAAATAAAAAGAAAATAACTTTACCTGGTACGTCAACAATTTGTCGGTGGATTGGTAATTATTCAAAATTTATAAAGGGATTTGGCTCTGCACTATTTCGACGATTAAAAAAAAAATGTGAAGCAATGAGCAAAGATGCTCCATTAATATTTGACGAAATGAAGATTAAAAACTATATTGAATATTCTAAGTTTTTAGATTGCTTTGAGGGGTATGAAGTTTTAGGACCGGAAGGCCGTACAAATAAATTAGCTGGTAAACCATGGTGTTTATTGATTCGTGGCTTGTATTCATCGTGGAAAATGCCCATTTCTTATTTTTTACCAGCGACAAAAAATTGTTTATTGAGTGAGTTGTTTGTGGAGGTAATTCAACAGCTATTAGATTGTGGATATTTTCTTGTTAAAGCAGTAATATGTAATCAAGGCACCAAAAACGTAGCAGCACTTAAACTACCAAAAGTTATAAAAGACGAACTGTTTTTCAAAGTCAATAAATGACAATTTTATTCTATTTGTAATACTCCACGTTTATTTAAAAGCTTACGAAATCATTTAAAGAAAAACAATTTCATATTTATTTTGAAGGCAAAGAAGTTTCTTTTCAAGACTTCAGAGATGTTTATGATATTGATGAAAAAAAGTGGTAATAGTCGTTCTTTATTAAAAATAACTGACAAACATATAAACCTAGGGGAATTTCAATTGATGTCTTGCAAATTAGCTATGCCACTTGTAAGTGATACAATGTCTACAGACAGCTTATATGATAAAGTATTTCAATGATTTACTAGATATACTAAATATTATGAGTTTGTATTACGGACCAAGATATAATGGACTGGAAACAAGCAGCTTATCAGTGGCCTCGAAAGTATGTACAAGAAGCAAGTGCGGGGGGTCGCAACCATAATCGACAGTTTTCAACGCCATCTGTATAAAACAAGGACTGAGATACAAAATGAGACGCTAAATAAAACCACTGGTAGAGCTGAAAACATTCGATTATGAGTGTTGATGATAACAGAGGTCCCCCGTCCCCGCCCACCTTGTCGTTTCCAGTCCATTATTTCTTAGTCCGTGGTTTGTATTATTCCAATCCATTTAAATGTGCTTTATCTTAAAAGCGACCACACCAACTAGAATTTGTTCTTAAAGCATAATAACATTTAATATATTTAACAAAAATTGTAAAAACAAAGGAAAACAAGAAACCAAACCCATTTGCTTAAATGGTATGTGCTGGACCTTGAATGCTATTATAATGCTGTATAATGAATAACAATACATGGGATTCACATACATTTTTACTGGACGCTTCAACTCTGATCTAATATAGAAAACACTATATTATTTAAATACAAAGAGGAGGATATAATAGGTAAAATATGCTTGCCTTGTATTCTTATATAACATAAAAGTTGAATGTTTTAAGTTGTCAATAATTAATAAAATGTTCAAGTTATTACTGCAAGAACTTTCCGCACAACATTTAGAATTAATGCAAAAATAAGTTCAATGAAACTATCTAGTTCTTCTAACTGTGAGCCAGATGATGACATCCATTTAATGACTCATATAAATTATATAATATTAGTCTCAAATTGAATATTTCTATTTACCTAGTTAAAATTTGTTTTTATAAAACTCAAACTTTGGGAATGTTCATTATAAAAAATGACAGACAATATTTCCATGATTTTTGACAGTGATTTGTTGATTAAAATCATTAAGAAAAATGTTAGACTAAGCCATCTTTAATATTTAAAAATGATTTCTCTTCTTTATTATTATTAAGATTCACAAGTTAACAGGTAGGTTAACCTAGGTAGGTTATCTATAAAATAGTTTAACGTAGAAATTAACATAATCTTAGTTATTATTTTAATTTTGTTTGGAATGATAATACAGCAATAAGTTTATGTTGTAGTCATCACTGTATATTACCAAGAACCATTAGAAATGATTTAAAATTTTTTTTTTTAATAACCATTTATAAAAAATAATACCTAATTAACATCATTAAATATTAAAATATGTATTAAATACATTTTTAGTATTATTAAAATATTTTGAAGAGCATTATTTTAGGACATTTTTTTTTATAGTTTTTAAGGAATATATTAATTCCAAACCCTGGTTATAAATTAATTGTTGGTAACAAAAGGTACAAATTGTTTTAATTAATATGTCATCTGTTCACGCTTTGGCTGAGCAGTGTGCAGAACGCAGAAGCAGTAAACAGTCTTGTTTGATATTTTATAATATTAAAATAAATTGTACTTGTCAATAACCATATAATACAAGATTATATAGGAATTGTTTGATGTTTCCTTATCGCAGTTTATTTCTATCAAAATTAAAACAGGTATTTGGATAAATACCGGCCATGATCATTAACATTACCCCCACTTATAAATTCTTCACTGCCAATTAGTGATCCTAATTATTTCTTAGATATTGACATCACTAATGCCACCTATTGAGAGGCCGCGCTATTAATGAAGGCTATCACATTATCTGTACCTATAGCTGTGGGCTATCTATGTATATTTAATCAATGCTATATGATATAACAGTGTACAACATGTTAAGAATTATTATATATTTAGAATAGTACTAATACCAAAATGTTACAATACCCACATCAGATAAGACCTATTTGCTAAATTCAATAAATATTATATATACAATGTATACAATTATGTTCCGCTTATAATTTTATATATGATGAACACTTTTTTTTTATAATAAAAATCAATTTTAACAGCTAACAAACTAAAATATATTGTTCAATTGCATTTAGAATATGAACATGTTTAATAGACTTTTTACAGCTAAAAATACTTTTAATTAGTTTAACTCGTAATATATATTATTATAAGCAATGCAAAAATCTATATATTTGATGGCTCTTGCTCCTTTGTCAAAATGTTATTATTACTAGAATCATTTTTTAAGAGCCATGCATCTAGAACTGTAGATTTTTGCATCATCAGATAAAATTACGATTTATTTTAATATTATGGGGCAATAATAAATATAATTGCAACAAACATAAAACATAGCATTCAATTAACTTAATAAAATTTAAAAGTATAATAAACAACTTAAAAAATAATAATTTGTAAATGATTAAAAATTATTAATAAATAATTAATTTCCTTTATTTTTTTTGCATATTTTTAGCACATATTTAGCGATATTTAAGGTAATATTAAAGAGCATATGTATGCAATTTAAAGTGCTATAAAATCCTAACCCTGTTAACTATAGACTTAGATATTATATAGATATAATTGTGATAGTGGCACATGTAGTTGTGTCGTCAAAGGTCATCACATATATTTAAATTATAAATTATGAAATAATAATTATATGTAGGAAAGCATAAACCATTAATACAATATTAATATTACTATAGTTTAATATCAATACTATTTTGTTTGGTAAAATTAAATGAATTTTAAGAAAATTGAGAAATCAAAATATATTTTTGGAAAAGAATTACATAATTTATATCGGGCATCTGTACCGAAAAAAAAGTAATAAACTGCTAAAATTGGGAAAATTGAGTTTTTAAAATATAGGAAGAAAAAATAAAAATCTAAAAAAAGGTGACAGTAGCAGAACTTTATGTCATATTACACTATGAAGTAAAAATAAGTCTTACCCTATTTGTGATTTGCTATCATCATTATTATGGCCATTTTCGTCAATATTTTCTCTTTTAAAAACTTGTGGAAACAACAACATTGATGGTTTTGATGTTTCCATACTAAATTCCTCCATTATAATATTTTGATTCCTGTGAACATAAAACCGTAAAAATTATTTACCCATCATTTGTAATCAAATTAGTCATTTAGTGGGGGGAAAGATTGCAGGCTGTATATATAGTAAAAACTCTTGTTAGGTGTGCAAACATTTTGGCACCAAAAATTAAAACACCGAAATTAAGCACCAGTGGCACACTTCATTTAAAATACAATACAAAAACAAAGCATTAGTTTGTGTTTAACTAAATAATTTTGAAAAGTGACAGGATATAAGCTCTGCTCTTGTCACCAAAGGCGTGTTTAGTGGTATGGCAAACCTGGCCATTTTTTTTTTTTTTTTGTGTCTATGTACATACACGAAATGTAGTCAAAATAATGCTTAGACTTCAGTATCTCTTTCGATGGGAAAGTGAATCTAGTTGGTGCATTGGGATGTCAAATTTTAAAATTCCCAGCAATTTTAAAAAACGCCGAGAAAAACTAAAAAAATTTAAGGACAACTGGGAATTTTTATGCAAAATCAATTTTGGTTTTTGGTGTAACTCTAATTTTCACTGGTTGTTCATATTGGCATTTTCTATAGTCTACTTGAAAATATTTTGAGCTGTTTACGGACATTTTCAGTTTTCAATTTTGTTATTTGTGGGTATAATAGCGTTCAAATTTAATACTAGACTCCAGATGTATTGTTACAATAGTAGTTGAAAAAAAGTAAAAATACCTACATAGGCAAAATTTTTATATTCTTTTTATTTCATTTAAAGTTCGATTTTTGACAACATTTAACAAATTTTTAATTTAAACGATTTTGTAGTTAGAAATGTATAAAATGTTCAACTTTTATAGCTAAGGATTGAAAATCCTTTTTTTTTTTTTTTGATTTATATGTTTTTTTATTCAATCTGTTACAAAGAAGAACAATAAGAACAATTGATTGGTTAAAAATACTTAAAATGTTAAAATAAGGCAAATAAAAATAAAAAGGCAGATTGGATGGAATGTAGAGGTCTCCCAGCGGAGGTACTACGACAGAAGGCTGTATATGAAGGAGGTTTTGAGGGTTCAAACCCCCCCCCCCCACCACCAAAATATTTTATAGTTAATAAATTTAATTTATGTAAATTAATTTTAATAATTCACCATGTGGCAATGTGGATTTAAATAATAACATAATAACTATATTATGTTTGATTATTGATTATAGCCTATAGCTATTGTTAAACATTTTGTTATAATCGAACTAATACACAATACTGATGTTGTTTTCTATAATATAATATATTATAATATAATATTATTATATTATACATAGATAAGTCACACACTATTAAAGACGTTTTGTAGTCGGATGCGAAACGTCTATAATAGGTATAAACGTCTATAAATTATCGCCCGTATTGCCATTTTTTCTCGAAAAACTCCATGGTATCGTCAGTACACATAGAAATAGCAATATTAATCATTTTGAATATTTATAATATTATCATTTTCTATAGACCATAACATTTTTAAAATATTTTGATTTATCTTGAGCTGAATACGGACATTTCTAGTTTCAAATTTTTTTAGGTTTTTTTTCTATAGATGACTATAACATTTTATTTGTTGGGTAAAAAGGCTTGAAAATTTAATACAAGGCTCCTAATTTATCGTTACAAAGACATTTGAAAAATATTAAAAATCCGTAATCACAATTTTATTTTATAAACATTTAAATTTCAAATATTGACAAAATACGTAAAAATCACGAAAATGTGCAAATTATTTTGAGTTAGAAATTCATGAAACTTTTCTTTTTGAATCTAAGATTTTAAAATATAACACAAGATTTCTCATAAGACTGCCTACCTCTACCGAAAAAAAATATCTTATATCAACTCAAATCCAATTTTGATGAGCGTTAGTAAGTACATGTATTTACAACATTGGATATTCACTCGATTTCTAATGTAGAGATTTTCTTATTTTGTTGTAATTCAAAAATGAATAACTGTAGATGCATGGAAAATTAACTAAATGTTAATATTTTCATTCTCTATACACCATTCAATTTTGACTCTTTTTGAGCTGTTTAAGGACATTTTCAGTTTTCAATTTTATTAGTTTTTTTTTCAATTATTGTCAATAAAATTTTGTTTGTGGGGTAAAAAACTGTGAAAATTTACTCCAAGGCTAATGTTATATTTTTAGTATAGTAGTTCAAAAATATTAAAAATAAATAACACAATTTCTTTTTGAAATAATTAAGTTTAAGAAAAAAATAAGTTTAAATGTTGACAAAATTTATCAAATTTAAAATTTTTTTTTATTATTAAAAATATAATTACAATCTATACAACAATTTTGTACAATAAGTAATTTTGATAAAGTATTTACATATTGAGAATTACAGATGGGGGAGGGCACTCAGTAGTGCCGCCCGATAGATTAAATTAGAAGGTCTCTAGGCCAGGAGCGTTTTAGACGTCTATGGGGGTTAATCAGGGATTGTTAGAAAAGATGGGCATTTTATTAATGAATTGTAGTATAGAATAAACTTGAATTTAAAATTTAAAACTATTTTGTAGTTAAAAATGTATAAAATGCTCAACTTTTATAGCTAAGGATTGAAAAATTAAAACAAGGTTCCACGTCAATAGGTTATAACTTATAATATATTAATAACTTTATTCACAATAATATCATCAAATATTATACTTTGTAATATCATAGGTAGGCTGACCTAACCGTCTTGGCTCAGAATCGTTTTTCTTATACAATGATATTATATCATTGGATTCAAATTTAACACAATCCATTACAGTAACTCACTTGTAACCTTCAGTACAGCAGAGCGACACCCACTTACCCACCTTTTTTTTTGTTTAAAATAAGTGTTAGTTGTTTTTTTTTTTTAATTAGGTAGGTACCTACAATGAAAATATTATTTGATTATACCCCCCCCCCCCCCGAAAATTTGTTCCAGCTACGGCCTTGCTACGACATGAGGGATTGAAAATTTAAAACAATGTTCCGCGTAAGTAGGTTAATCTGTCACCAAAAATTATCAAATATATAAAATGCAGTTTTTTTATATTTATTATATTACATTGAGCATTTATAATTAACAGATAAGCCCAGGTGAACATTAACTAGTTAGTTAAATAGTTTAATATCAATGTTCAATACCAATGTTAGGTAAAATTAAATGAATTTTAGGGAAAAGGATTATATCATTTATATTGGTTTCTTTATCAAAAAAAGTAATAAACAGCTAAAATTGAAAAAAGGGACAGTTTTTAAAATACAGGGACAAAAAGTGGGCCAAATCTAAAAAATGTGACTGTTGCAGCCTTTTATGTCATATTGCACTATGAAGTAAATATAAGTCTTACCCTATTTTTAATATGCTATCATCATAATTATGGCCATTTTCGTCAATATCTTCTTGTTTTATAACATTATTTAATACATGATCATCCCATCTAATAAGTGGAATCGTCAGCATTCTTCCACGCCTTAATATATCATCATACCTAAAGTAAATTGAAAAAAAATGTATTATTTTTTATTCAGAAGCCAATTATTGTTTAAATCGGATACAATGTATCAATTACATAAATTATAACAACACCTATACTCTATTCAAAATAAGACCGTGACCAGGCTTCGTCCGGCGGCGGTCAGACATATGGTGAAACGCCGTCCCCACCACGGCGATGCGTAGGGCTCTGCTACGAAACAAAGCCACGCCCATGTGCACAACTCGGCCGCCTGGTCACGGTCTTATTTTGAATAGAGTATAGTCTTATACAATAAAATTAATTAAAAATGTACCGATGTTAAAATTTTATATTTTTTTAATGTTTCACAGTGTAAATATTTGCTTACTTAGAATTTAATGCTTCCATATTGAATTTGTGCCCCTTTATAATATTTTGATTACTGTGAACATAAAATCATAAAAATTATTTAGCATTTGTAATCAAATTGGTCATTTAGTGTGGGGGGGGGGGGAAGATTGCAGGCTGTATGTATATTAAAACGTCTTGGCGATAATGCAAACATTTTGGCACCAAAAATTAATACACCGAAATTAAGCACCAGTGTCACACTTCATTTAAAGTACAATACCCAAACAAAGCAATTAGTTTGTGTTTAACTAAATATTTTTGAAAAGGAACAGAATGTAAGCTCTGCTCTTATCACTATTGTTTTCAACTCATAATTTGCTTTTGTATCAATAGAAAATTTTAATTTAAAATTATAAAGATAAATTCCAATTATTATTCAATTGTGATATCAAATCATAGATGAACAGAAAACACAAAAATATAACAATTTTAATAGCATAATAGAGAGATATAACATAATATGTTGTTCTGATAAAGGTATAATGGTCCATATAAGCATTTAACTGTGATAATTTAAGTGAGAAGAAATAGAAATAGAAATGTGAACACATGTATACTCTACTCCTAATGACCTAATTAGTAATTACCATATACCTTTAACAAAATATAATTATATATTATAATAAAATTAATAATTAATTGTTAATTGTATAAAATATAGATTGTACCTAAATCAAATAAAAATATAAATATGAACACAATATTATGTATACGTCATGATTTATTGTGTTATAAGTTATGAGTCAAAAAACATCAGTCTTAGGTATATACATAGTACAATAATTTATAAATCAATAAACGTAAACCTTATACTAAAGTGTATACAAAAATTACAAAACCGGAGTTAATTTAATATATTTAGAGAGCAGATAATAATCATAAACGTCAGTCAATTTTCGACTGTAAAATTACAACAATAATAGCTCGAAAAAGCCTAATACAATAGTAGTAAGTGCATAATAACATAGATAATAATATAGTCAATAGCACAGATATAGATAATAAACTAGATTACTAGGTTCCTTATACTGACCGTATAAACGTTTGAACCTCGGTTTGAACATTGAACTTTGAAGCCAAGCATCCACCATTAGTAGCACGAACTACGATATACAGGACTGGTAACGACTAGATATTGCGGTCGGGTACTCTTGCTGAAGTGTACCTTGATGTTTATGGCGCACTCTGTCGGTTTACTAAATAATCTGAATTTTAATACACAGCAACCTGTGACAACTATTAAAAAAAAATAGAATAGATCAAATTATTCAAATCTATATTATTAATTATTAGGTACCTATATCGTATCGAATCATATTTAATGTAAATAATTTAATTTTGTCTATAATTTACGGTCTTGCATTACATACGTACGATTTAATAATGCATGGTTATAAATATCTAAAATATATATTTGTGATGAAGATTGAAATTTGAAGATAGGTAATATTATTATAGAAATATCAAATTGACAATGGTTATTAATTTTTTTTCAAGTTTATTTTATACTTTTATTAATTTATTCTATAACTATTTTACAATCAATTTGTCACCAATTTGGATAACTTATTTTATTTAGAGCTTTTATGTTGCTGTTCTCTATTATGCATACAAGAATATTGTCTCATTCTCATGGTCACATAATATACAATTATAGAACTCATAATATCACTTTTATGACTTTTATGTTCACTACATGGAAAGTAGAGATTGTTATTATTTTCCAAAAAATCATTAACAGTATCATCAAAGGCACTTGGACTCCCACAGTGGTTTTCAAATGACTTTTCTAAAATTCAGTTCTGGCCGTGAACGTAGAGCCCAAGACTTTATAAAAGCCCGGATTAAAGGGGGGTCAAATTTCATAACAATACAAATAAATTCTTTTTATTTTCGTTATAAATTATTAGTTAATGGAATCTAGATACAGTAATGTGTTTTCGGGAAAAAAAAAAAAAATTTGCAAGACCGCAAGAGTCTTGCAGTGATGGTCTTGTCTTGTTCTTGCAAGCCTAATATTGGTCTTGGTCTTGCAGCAAGAGTCTTGCGAGACCGCGAGCCCAAGACCAATTTTGATCGTCACTAATGCATACTTTAGAAGATCATAGTTAATAACCCAGCTAACCAAAATTGATCATTTGACTGTCAAAATGTTGAGAAAAAAAGCTTTAGCGGAATCCATAAAAAAACATGAAAAAATAAAGTCGATTTTATTATTTTTACAACTGCGTGTTTAAAAATGGTGTTTTGAATACCAAATTCGGATAGACCGAATTTTTTTAAGTCGATTTGGTCCTTTTTACCATAGCTCTAAAATCAAAATTGACTAAATGGCAACCAGTCAAAGTTTCGATTAAAATTATTGAATTTTTCACCAATCATACTAGAATTTTATGAATTATTATGAAATTTTATTTATTATTTTATAATAATTCATAAAATTCTAGTATGATTGGTGAAAAATTCAATAATTTTAATCGAAACTTTGACTGGTTGCCATTTAGTCAATTTTGATTTTAGAGCTATGGTAAAAAGGACCAAATTGACTTAAAAAAATTCGGTCTACCCGAATTTGGTATTCAAAACACCTGTTGCCATTTAAAAAAATGCAAGTTGTATTGTACGACTTTTGGTCTTTAACACCATATAACGAGAGTTAGTCTTTAACTTATGCTGTGCTAGAGAAGCTAAACGTGACCTGTTGAGCGTACATTTGGCTTGATACACACTCGTAAGACGGAGACAACAAATGTCAGTGTACCGTCCTCTCATCGGAATTGACCGATGGCGTGTACTATTGCTCAATTAATTATAATATTCGCTCTTACCTGTAAACGAAGATTGTGTCGCCCGCGGAAGACTGCGATTCGCAAGTGAGGTAATAGTTGGCAGACGATTGTCCACGAGTTTTACGCGTTATGTAAACGGCCAAACGAGTAGCAGCTAGTTGAAAAATCCGTGACTCCAAACCTAGGAGTATCGTGTGCGTTGTAGAGTGGCTCCGGAAGAAGACGATTCGCTAATCGCAAGTGAGGTAAAAATCGGCAGACGATTGTACATGAACATGAGGCTTGAATGCAGAAGCTGGAGAAGTAGAGACGCCTCAGACGCCAGACGCCTAGAGTGCTGTCAGCGAATAAGAATATGAGATGCGACTGATGCGAGACGGAGGGGCGAGAAGTTGCCGCCACTTGCCGCCCATAGATATTAAAGAATGGATAGGCCATGGCTATATTAATAAAATAGAGGGATGTGTCGCCGGAATGGGGTAGATAGAAGACTGTTTTTTATCATTGCTTCTCATTTTAGCAGAGGGTCTTATCATAAATTATGTACAATAATTATATATATAAACATTTGTGTTAAGACCTCTATAACCTCAAAATATTTTCATGTTCATTCCCGTGTGTTAAGCATAAATGGCCTATCCATTCTTTAATAACTATGATTAATACTAATAAAAAAAAATGTGGCTGATAAGAAATTTTAATATTTCTTATCACCATATTTAACGGATCGTTAAAAGTTAACGAACCAAAATCGGACCTGTAGTTTACAGGTCCAATAGCCGATAATTTACAGACCCGTTAACGTTAACAGTCGTTCAAGCAACACCCAATTTTTTTTAACGGATCATTAGTGCGTTAACGGCTCTATAAATCACTAATGAACGTTTATGCAACCCACCCTAAGTATTCCACTTAAAGATATTATCACATTGACGATAAAAACTCTTATTAACCACATAAGTAACCACAACAACCATTTGGGTAATATAGCACTTTTATGAGACAGAGATATATCTGCTCTCTAGGACCGCGGCACTTTACGTTAAAAGTATAGGAATGGCCTATCCATTCTTTATTATCTATGGTATTAATAATATAATCAGCAATCATTGTAATCAAATTAAATGTGGTATAATTTATTTGGTAGTTATTGTTATCAATAAAATACCAAATAATAATAATCTTTTATGAAACTCATTTTTATTTTTTACAAGCCGTTAACGAGTTAACGAGTGATTATGTTACAGGTCCGTGAAAACATTTACAGACTGGTCTTTATGCAACCGGCCCTTAGATCATATACTAGTATATGATCTAAGGTGGAATACTAGAATCAAAACTGGAAGTAAAAGTGTATTCATGGAATAAAAAAAAAAAAGCACTTTATGACATAAAGTTATTGTGTCCGGGAACGTAATATGATAAGGGAACATGGCCTATCCATTCTTTATTATCTATGGATCGCCACGACGCTGCAAAAGACCCGCCCACAGCAGCTTGACCTAACCTAACATTTGTATAGTTCTCCCGGAGTATAGATATAATAATACATTAATACGTCCGTGTCCCTGAGTGAGATAAGAAATATGATAAAAATCGCACAAACTCCGAACTCGCACCAGTGCAGTGCACGAGTCCACCACATTTAGTCATGATTTTGATATTTTTTATTTGATTTATTAATTATTTCGTTTTTTTACTTTTATAGTAGATTTTGTACAACTAAACAATTTGTTCATTGTTCACTATCGTGTGCAATATACAAATTACAAATCAAACAGTTCATCTTAAAAGTGATTTTCGTAAATCGTCCATAGTTATTGGCTTGAAAAGTACAAGTAATAGGTAAAATTATTACACTACTCTTTACATTTAATATTATTATTTAAATAACATTCGCGTTACTCGAAATTGTGAAAAGTGATGGTAACAGTTATTTAAATACCTAGTGCAGAAGTTTTTGACTGCAAAACTCGAGAATGGCGTATGGTATCTAATATATGTGTAGTAAACGAGTTACTACTTAACATTTAATGTCCCAACAGGTAACATATTTAGCATAACATAGGTACTGTAGATAGGTAATAATCAGATATATCAAACAAAAACTAGTCAACCTTTTCGATTGTACCTAATCAAAGAAACCATGGAGAGTATAATGCCCAAAACGAACTCATAAACAAATTTACGATTAATAAATTACTGGCT